GCGTCTCCCCGAGGCCTTGGCGTCGCCGGCGTTCAGGCCACAGAATCTTGACGTGGTTGCCCTTCTCGGGGCGGGTCAGGGCCCAAGACGGGTGGGCGCCGAAGAACATGGCCTCGTCGTCGGGGGTGGGCCGAATGAGCAGGGCAAGATGCGCTTGTTTCGTGAGGCCCCGGCAGGCCCGGCCTGCAGGGGTGGGTCGCGGCGTAGAATGTAGAAACAGGGGGCAGGGAGGGCCGGCGAGGGCGGCCAAAGGCGGCGGAGAGGACCCAGAAGCCAGGCCATGGCGGAGCGCGCTGCGACCCTCCTGCGGACGCCGAGGGGGGGGTTCAGGATCCGAGGCGGTTCGTGTGTCGAGGCGCCGCCCGTGTGGCAAGCGGACGGCAGGCAAAAAAAGAAGAATGGGAAGGCGTGTCGGGTTGGGGCGGGGTTGTTCCGTTTCTCGCGATGCTGTGGTTTGTGCTGCCGATGGACAAGAGCGGCGGGGCTCCAAGAGGACCGATCAATGGCAAGGCTGCAGATGATCCAAGAGGACCGATCAATGGCAAGGCTGCAGATGATCCAAGAGGACCGATCAATGGCAAGGCTGCAGATGATGATCCAATTGGAAGCCGTGCGATGCGATGTACCTATCGACAGAAGCAAGGCGCAACGAGCAAAGGCTGGATGGCGCGATGAGGGTAGCAGATAGCAGACAGCAGACAGCAGAAGCAAATGCAGAGGCAAAGAAGAGGGGCGCGCTTCGCAGGAGGAGGGACCACGGTGCAGGTGCCGGCGGAAATGCCACCTTGCGATTAGGACCCTTGCGTTGGCATCGCGTTGGTGCATCGCCGTCCTGCACTGTACATGTACCATGTACTGCGTTGTACTGCATTGTACTGCATTTTACTGCATTGAGCCGAGGCGCTGGGGCGCTGTCCGGGGAAATTACAGCGAGGGCGCTACGGCGAGTCCCTGCTCCGGTGCCTGCCCACACCAGGTACAGATACCTTGCCCCTTACCTAGGGTACAGATACCTTACCTGGTAGTTACCTAGGGTGCAGATACCTTACCTGGCAAGCCTGGTAGGTACCTAGGGTACGGATACCTCACCTGGTAGCTAGGTAGCTAGGGAACGTCGAATTTGACAGCTTGCCTCTCCTGCGTACCTGGGTAGCTGCCTCTCCCGCCAAGCGAGCTTCCTCTCCTGCCCAGCTAGCTGCAGCTCCCCATCCCGAATTACGCAACGACAGCTTCCACCGCATCCTCCCACGCATCACACGACGACCACCAAACCCCTCTCGTGACCCCGCCTCCGACACCATGGGCAAGATGGCTCGACAGCGCCGCGAAAAGGCCGCCGGCACCATCAAGCTGGCCCACCCCGACCGCTCCGATCCCACCGAAGACACTCTGCTCCAGATGGCCCACGAACGCGGCCTCTTCCAGCAGGCCGACGCCGATCCAAGAAACAAGACGACGTCCAGATCGACGCCCGCCGCCAACAGTGAAGACGAAGACGATGCCGCTGATGCCGACGCCGACGGCACGGGCGAGCTGTCGCCCACGGCCGAGCGCATCATGGACTCGCTCCTCTGGACCGTCAGCCTCGCCATGCTGCACTTTACCCTCGATGTCGTCGTGCAGCATCAGTACGGCATCGACATTGACTGGCACGCCATCATCCTCCGCGCGCTGCAAGCTTTTGCCGGTATGTACCTCCCATCCACAACCCGTGTGCACGACCCATGTGTACCCTCAAGACCGCTTGGCATTGCCTTTCACGACTGACGCCATCGGGCCCCGACCAGCCCTGCTTGTGCTCTTCTACGTCCTCCACGCCCACCCCTCGAAGCCGACCTTCGTCCCGCGCCTGCCTCTCCGGTACCAAGATCCTCTCCGCCAGCTCCTCTTTTTTACCATGGGCGTCACGTCCGGTTGCTACCTGATCTACATCACCAACACCTTTGGCTACCTCGCCGTCATGAAAAAGGCCCCCACGCTGGGCTGCCTCTGGGTCTGGGCCGTCATTGAGCTGCCCTTGGGCCCGGCCGCTGCGAGCCTTGTCATCTGCGCCGCATTCCTGTGGCAGGGCGGCTATGACATCAAATAAAAAAAAAAAAGAAGTAAAAAAGAAAAAAAAAGGAAAAAACCGTCACAAGACGCTCATCTTGATCGTGACCGCGTCAAGAGCGAGCCTGACGGTCGCCTCGGCCCACGTGGCGGGCTTGCGCTCGACGGGCGCGAGGGCCACCGCTGGATGGCTTCGGCCAGGGATTGCTCTTCTCGAGGACAGACCCGGTCGCGGTGCATCATGCGGTAGACGAGGTCTTCCAACCGGTAGATCTGCGCCCGCTGCTCTGCCATGTCGGCCTGCATCCGCAGGAAGCTCTCCTCCGTCCTGGCCTCCTTCCACTGGGTCTTGCGCTCGAGATCGCGGATCCTCCTGCTTCTGTCGTCAGCCTGCTGTCGGGGATGCCCTGTTTCGGCCGCGGTGGACCCACGAAGAGATCATGCTCATCTGCGTAAACTGCACTCTCGCCGTCAGCGCGTCCCGCTGCCGCACCAGCGCGAGCGCCTTGGTCCGCACCGGCAGCCACGCCATGGCCACCGTCGTCGTGAACGCCCAGCGCCGCGGGATGAGCGTCCACCCGCTGTCCTCGGCCTTGGCGCCCGCCAGCGCCCTCTCTTCCGTCTCGGCGACGAGCTCTAGGATGCGCTGCTCCAGCTTGACGAGGTCGTCCATCACGAACGAGTACATCTCGTACGCGGGACGGTCGCCGAGCGCGCTGTCGCCGCCGACCGCCCTGATGAGCTCCACGAGCCACGTGGACTCGGTCTTGTACCAGGAGAGCGACGCCTTGACGCGAAAGTACTCGTCGTCGCTGTTGCGGAGGTAGCTGATGCGCGCGTAGACGGCGGCCAGAACGGCAAAGACGAGCGTCACGATGCCGGCCACGTTGGCGGCGATCGACAGGGGGCTGTCATTGGCGGGCATTCTAGATGAATATAGGCATAAACGTCAATTGACATGTCTCGTGCTTCGTTGACAAGTCCCCGATGAATTGACATGCCCGGTATGCAATTGGCGTGTCTGGCGGTCAATCGGTGTCGTCACCTGTCAGCGATGCGCAAGGGGTCAAAGGTGCCTCAACCCCTGAAGCGAGCTTGGCCGCCACACGTTCGGGTCAAGGCGCGATCGGCCCAGCCACGCCCTCTGTTTCGGTCACGTGGAAGACCAACGACATGCTTCGGTTTGGATGAGCTATAGCAATTCGTCGGGTTCATCATTTTTTTTTCCGATATGCTTCGTATTTTATTTTACTTTAGCAAACTTGTTTCGTTTCCTTAACTCCATCATCAGATCATGTCAGGTCGGTCAAGTTGACTGGGCTAGAATAATCCCAATTTCGAGAGACCTCGGGACTTTAGTAGGGCAGTAGGTATTCTGGACCACGGCGATGCAGAGGCTGATAAACAGCCATCTTATTCGTTGGATCGGCAAAATACTAGTTGAAGCTCTCTCTCCCTCATTTCAAAGGTCTCTTCAATGTTGACACTGGGATGCGGGTCTCGTGTATTTTCTCTTGCTGGGCCTCTTTCAGGGGCAGATCCGAGTGGCTCGTCAAACGGACACGATCATTTTCCAATCCATACTCTGACAACGCCTGTGAATCTTGGAAGATCACATCAAGGTCGTGAGTGAGCTGAGAATAGTCACAACTCTATTCTCATCCATTAAACGAGCCCAAAGCTTCTCATCACGTGCTAAGGCGGCCATTACCCCCCAACACAAGGGCACAAGAATTGCATCAGTTGCGAAAATCTTTGGTAGCATGAGAAGAATCAACTGTTCCTGAATACTGTTTGTTACATAAACCGTTGTCGCATTCACTGCACAATCTGTAACACAAAGACGCGAAAGCTCCATACAGACATGTCGCCTCACCTCGAGACAACACACAACAGTGTATGTGCCTTGCGTTTTGTCCCCCTTCTCTGCACTCATCCTCAGATGCATGTGAGGCTGGGTATCTCTTCGAGTGGCGTCTGAGGCGCCTATCGCCCCGACCTTGATCCTAAGGTCACGAGACAACCACCAACACCGTTCACAGTATCAGCCCAACGAAATGGCAAGCACGATCATGGCTGCAGTCGTTATCAACGTCGTAAGACGGCAGTCGCGAAGGGCGCTAGTACGTATAGGTGGAAGAGAGCTTCGGTTATTGGTGTGTCTCCTCCTTCGATTCACAGACTTGACTGCCAGCTCTCAACCTCTGTCTATCTGTCGTCCTTCATCCTCTTTCCCTTCTGTGATACCCCATCGGCACGTTCATCAAATCTTCATCGATCAGTTCCTAAGACCCCTACACCAACAAGGATCATCAACACCGCGTGTAGCACCCAGTATCAAAACCATCCCATCAAAGACACCACGGAAGAACTTTCCTCTTTCTCTGACAAGTACGTCGCCGTCAACTTCCTACCCCGCGTTGCGCGGTGCTCACTGTTTCATCCCAGGCAAGCAGCATGTCTGGTGCTCCCTACACCATTCCGTACTCTGGATCCCGCGCAAAGGGCCCAGAGGACGGCTATGCTCCCGATTCTGCCGCTCCTGGTAGCACCAGCAGCGGTTACAAAGCTGCTGGATCAGGTTACAAGCAGCCTGTCGTCGCCTCTGACGCTCCAGCAGCTGGCAACGCGCACTGCACTGGACAGCACGGCAAGGGCAACACCTACGGCACTCCTCACTCGTCTGCTCTCTGCCATCCCAAGTACGCCAATTCTGGCTCTTCCTACTGCATCTACGATGATAGTCCTGGCAAGGGCGAGACTGTTCACCACGTGACCCCTGTGTCGTCCCCCAAGGCAAGTACCCCGAACATCCAAACATGGCCAACAAGGTGACCTGCTAACTAGCGTCTACAGAAAAAGAGCACTGTCAAGAACGGCAATGGCCCCAAGACCTATGATGGCGCCTGTGACGAGCAAGACGTTGTCCCGGATCTAGCTCCTTTCAACAAGGAACGTGGCAGTCGCCTGCTGTACCCCTGCGGCAATTGTCACCTCTTTATCCTCTATCTCAAGAGAAAGCCTGACTTCTGCGACGTCTGCCGCATGATTCCCGACTGCCAGAACTGCGGTCGTGACTACCCCGAGATGGGCGGCCAGGGCGTGCGTCGCCCCTCGATCGGCTTCACGTTCCCCAACGGCAACGTCGGCACGTATGACGCCCCTAAGCCCGAATTTCCCTTTGACCTCGTCGGCGACTACAACTTTGGTCAGAGCAAGTAGGTTCGCAACAAGGGTCGCGGTCGTGGCCGATCGGCCCGTCGCGACAGGAACTAGATGCTGGAGGCTCGTATTCTTTTCAGATTGTCACCCGTCGAGTGGCTTCGCAATGGCGTTATACCCAGCAATTGACCTTTTGGAATGGGCTATGGATGGACGCATACATGTTTATTGACTTGCTGGCGCGGCAGCACACGTTTGCCAGTTCGGTTCCGCCAAGATTAGGTAGCTCTTAGTAGCAGTCCGTACAATTACACCATAGCCCAACACGACTTCAGCGCAGTGACAGGCGTGGACTTTTGTTTGATGATGGAGCCCGTATTGACAGACTCTAGGTGAATCAAAGGCCCTTTGGGGTGCTGCGATTCACACCCAGCCGGCAACTCTATCACCACCTCAACAGAAGTCTAGTACCTCTTTGTCTATTTGAAAGGTATAGTCCTGTCAAAGGCCACTTCAAATGACAGCTCGAGACATACCAATTCAACCATGCACAACACACCAGACGCCACTATGCCAGAAGATCATACTCGAACGCTCTTCCTCGTCCGTAAGAAGCGCAACTCCAAGCACGACGTCCCCTGCAGCCTCGACTGTCTCCTCTACCCCCGCGGGAAGCCCAGGCGCGCACCGAAGACCCTCTTCGGGCGCCTCCTCGCGCTTCTCGGCGTCGACCTGCAGACACCGGCGAGCAGCGGCGCCGGCGAGCGGTGGGTGCACAGGGGCGGGGCTGGATACCAGCCTGGGCGGCACTGGGGGTGTCCGCGGCCCAACATGTTCTTCGAGGGCTCGGGAGAGGTGGCAGCGGTGCCTGCTGGTGGGGCGGGGTGCTGAGTTGTGTTCTTCCTCGGCCTGGGGAGGAATGGGAGGGGGTTGATCTATGCGGATACGTGGGCTTGTCGTTCGAGTCTATACTCGATTTGGACTTTCTGATATACGAGACAAGATATGGTGCAAGAACTACGGGATGGTTGTGAGAGGGTACTCAAGACGTGTCACATATGTTTGGACGAAGTGGCCCTGAATGTGCTGCTACTTTGACTAGGACAGACACGCCAACCCTGCGACGACCGACTTTTGGCTTACTCTACGATATTCGTTCCAAGCACCTCGCAAGTCGGCAGTAGGCTAGAAAGTCGGAGGCCCAGGAGCCTGGGTGATAGTTCTTTAGTCGTATCACACTATAAACGTCGACTTGCGCCCCGTCTATCCTCCATCTCGATCCAGCATAGGGGAAACTGCTGACCAGTTCATCCTCGCTCAATGAACCATGCAAGCCGGGGTACGAGTTTCTACTTGCATGTTCTCCGCACTTTTTATTCACTATCCCTGCCGGAAACAAACCCTCGTCAACGGTGACCAAAGAACTGCCCGGGGAGGCAGGTCACTCTACCCAGGCCGGCTATACAACTTTCAGGAGGCCCTCCCGGAGCCATGGAACAGGGGGCTGGTCAGGGACTCGGGACTACGAGAACGTCGATAACGGTTATGGAGGGCCCTGCTGGTAGCGAAGGACCAAAATTTAGACACATTCTACCTCTATATCTACCATGTATTCCCTGCGGCCTCGTACGGAAGACCTCTCTACTCTGTTCAACTCCGCGCTCTTACATTATTTATCAGGGTGTTCAGCGCTCCGACGTTCTCACATAGGCAACCCGGAACTACGACCACGAGCAAATTGACAGTGACCATCTCTCCCAGGGGTGCTGTGCAGTTGCAATTTCAGGAGGCAGCATAGAACCTGGCTAGTAGGCAGTGGCACGTCTCTCGAGCACGTCGAGAACGGTTCTAGCATGGCCCCCGAGGCTGGTCATTTCGCCTGCTGCGAGCAGCTCGGTGCGAACAAGTAGACAGGAACATTGCGATGTCGGTGACATAACAGTGATATTCTGCCGTACATAGATTGGAGGACCCGGGGTTCTTTTTCAGTCGAGTAAACCTCGTGAGCGTGAAATCGAGGGGCTCTTGCACCTGTTTGTCAAGGAATCCGTCCCGCCGAGGAGGCCGGCCCTTCCAGGCCAGATCGCATGCCAAAGGGCTCCATCCCCTGTTCGCGGCCTCGGCAGATGCAGTCGTTGCTCGGCCCGGGGGGACCTCAACGGCGCAACGCTTGATCAAAACATGCCCGGTGCCCTTGATGATCGAGCGTCGACAAGCAGAAACCGGGTACAGAGCATTGCCCCTTTCCATGAGAGCAGCAGCTCTGGCACCGGCGCACAACAGGACGGCGATGTGAGGACCCAACGGCTGGCAACACGAGGCTTCCCGTGTTTCGGCAGCATTTCGAGATTTCGAACGATGCCATCCTCGCATCATCGATTCTCAGCGCTGCGAATTGACGTCGCTGGCTGGGGCAATCCTGGCCATTGGTGGTGCGGCCGAGATCGAGCACTCGCTTCCAGATGACTCATCCATGACCAGGCAGCCATCCTCCCATCACGAACAGCCTCACAGTACCCTATCTTGCTTGTCGCACCATTTTCATCACAACGCCATAACCACCAGATCCAAACATGGCAGAACCATGGCCTGCAGAGCACGCGCCGAGTCCAGCACCGGCCATGCGCATCGCGTACCCCGCCGGCCTGGACCCCTTCAACCGCTCCGTGTCCGCCTACCTCGAGGAGCACTACCCGCCCAACTCACATGACGGCCTCGCCACGTGCGCCATGGTATTCGACGCCGAGAACCGCATCCTGCTGCTCCGGCGCGCCGCGCACGACAGCATGCCCGGCCTCTGGGAACCGCCGGGTGGCGCAGCCGATGAGCCGGACGGCAGCCTGCTCGTGAGCTGCGCGCGCGAGCTCTGGGAGGAAGCCGGACTCCTGGCGACGGAGATGATCCGCATCGCGAGCGAGGGCGACGGCATAGCGCCGGGCAACGTGTTTGGCAACCGCACGGGCGAGCGGGTCTACAGAAAGTTTGCGTTCGAGGTCGGCGTGTCGGGATCGCTCGACGTCCAGCTCGACGCCCACGAGCACGATGCCTATGTGTGGGCGACGGAGGAGGAGATCAGGTCGGGACGGGTCCCGGGTGTGGAGGGTCATCTACAGCTCACGTTCGGCGCGACGCGCGAGCTCATCTACGATAGCTTTCGGCGGAGGAGGGAAGAGCCTGCGGAAACGCCGTCGCTGGTAGTGGAGAGGGATGCTGCCGTTCTATGAGTATATTTACGTCATGACCATGGGATTTGGTATTGGGCTGAGCCCCATGGGCTCTTTGTCATGGCGATGCGTTGTTCGAAAGGACATGATATCAGAATGGGCAGAGAAAACTGTCAATCCCCCTCACACCCTACACAGACAGATGACAATTGTTCCATCAGACTTTGCCACATGGCCTTGCAGTAAGAGTCTGGGAGATGCCAGCAACATAGATCTAGTCCACCGTCAGCAACAAGGGCCGAACCCGGCAAGGCCACCCCGGCTGCACCGGCCAGCTGTTCAGCTCGCACATCCTGCACAACAGAAATTGCTGCCCAGGACGACAACAGCCGCACGAGTTGTGATGTCACTGAGGCCGCTCTCCATTGTGCAGCAGCTGCCGCTGCTCCGTGGCACGTCGATTCCAAAGTCTAGACGACATCGCATGGCTTGAACCCAGGGGCGCTGGCGTGCCCCGGCTGTGCGGCAAGGGGCGCTCTGTCCGGATAGGGCCGTTGAGCCCGGCGCAGAACCCTTTGAGCTAAGGTAAGGTAGTACGCCAGACGATTGCCGACGACGGCGGCCGTCATTGACCACGAGTGAGCTCTTTTGCATTCGTCACGGGAGCGGCATCGGAGCTTTTTGGGCCGGTCCAGCAAGGGTCTACGCTTGACGCCGAAAAGGGCACACTGGGGGTTTTTTTTTTTCTTCAGTGGTCTGTCGTCCTAACCATCTGCCGGTATCATCGGTGTTACTCCCATTGGCCTCGCGCCAAGAGACCTGCGTCGCGATCGGCCGTTGATCGGGAGATGGACAGGATCCTGGGCCGACTACATGATGTGACGATGATCGTAAACATCTCGGAGATGCCGTCGTCGTGATGAGCTTGCCACCCCTTCCCTCCATGCAGTGGGCTTGCGTTTCATCTCTTCCAAGATGATGGCAAAATGGCCAATGCGTCCTCGGTTGCTACGCACAGATTGCAAGTGCTCAAATGGCATGAATTGGAAATCTGGGCAATGTGGTGGAGCGCTAGGACGTATTGGGGCCATGACATCACGATCGATGAGTTTCCGATCCCCCGCTTGGACCAGTACCAGTCTGCACTCGTGGGCCTGGGACGCAGCGCGCGCGCACTTGGCCTGGCCGCATCCTCGCCATGGTCGCAAGAGCGCAAGGTGCAGACACGCGTCGTCTCTTTCTGGGTGCATGTTTCAACGAGAAAGCAACAAGGGGAGCAGCAGGTGCCCTGAACAGGACCAAAAAGGGGGATACACCAAGAGGACGTATGCGCGTATGCAAGTTGACTGGGCAATGGGGCCCATGTTGTAGCGGGTGGCGGACGTGCTATTGATGGTAGTGGCATGCAGGCGTCTCGTTGAAACAGGTTGGTCTGCGGCAGTCGGCGAGCTGTCTGGGAAAAGTGTGGTACAGAGACAGGGGGTCACCTGGTCTTGTCAGCATCACCATCCTGCAGATGCTCTATTGCGCGTGTGGAAAGTGTCGTCTCCTGCTTTCTTGCAGGTTGGGTCACGAGAGTCGGGCGACCTGCAACTTCCAGGGTCGTTGGGGTCGTCGTGTCTCTGCTGCAGGCTGGACAGGGTTAGGCCAGGTCTCGCACATGCCAAAATTCAGGGCGACCCTAGGGGACTCGATGAGAGGTGCGCAGTACAATAAAGTCCCCTGCTCGGCTTGGCCCACATGGATTGCGACCCAGGTGGGAGAGAGAGCTTGTTTAGTATCGTGGTGACCGTTCCGACTCATGCTTGTGGGTTCTTCGCGCCCGGCCCGGCCGGGTCATCCTGGCGAGGCTGAGTCTGAATTGGGATGACAGAGAAGAAGGGACTCTTGTGATAAGCGGCGGGGAAGGGGGGTTCCCATGTCTGTCGTGCGTGAGCGGTCAATCGGGCTGTCGGTTGGTCGGTTGAGGAGGAGGAAGTCTTCGGATGCCTGCAAACGGCGCCAGAGTTCGCTGGCGAATGCTGGTGCCCAACGCAACCGAGATGTGCGGATCTGACAAGTCGATATGGGCTTGACTAACCGTGTGACCGCCTCGCCCGCCAAGCTGGCAGCACATCTTCTTGCCAAAACCGTGTCCCTGGGCAGCTCGATGGAAGGAAGACTTTGACCCCAAACAAGAAAGGGAAAACAAGAAATGCTCCACTGGCGACCCGGCTCGCCGTGTGCCGTGACGATCATCAGGCGCAGGGCCTGGGCCTGGACTTTTTTCTCTATCCAATGCGCTGTGCCGCGCTTAGGGGCCTTGGAGGGTGGTGCCTTGGAGGGGTGTTTGGGTGTGCATGCGGCATTGCCAGGCCGCAGCCTCTCTCTCTCTCTCTCTCTCTCTCTCTCTCTCTCTCTCTCTTGCTCATTGAAATACCGGTATTTCTCCTGGTGAGCGTGCATGGAGTGTGGTCACTCGACATGAGTCGCGCGGCAGGCAGGTGTTTGGGCTGAAGCTAGTTTTGCGTTCGGCTGCTGATGGGCTTTTGCGAATCGGGCAAGGCTGGAGGAGGCGTCATTCGGTCGAGGACATGTCTTATTTGACTATCCATGCCATCTTCGACTCAATTTGCTTGCCTCGCTGGTGTAGGGGTCGTATAGAGGTTCCCGTTGAGGTCGGGAGGAGACAAGAGGATGAGGATAAAGCCTGCGAGGCCCACGTCTTGGAGGCTTGGAGGTGTCGTGCATTGCCAGCACTTTACAGAACCTGTGCCTCCGGCGCGCCAAGGGCCACGAATGCATCCCCACCTGATCCCCGCCGCCGCTGCCAGCATCCCCCACCGCTACGCTCCGTAGACAGGGCTTCGTCCACTGACGGAAGGCCATAGCGCTTACTTAACCTGACGCTAGCGAGGGGGGGGGCCACTCTGGGCTGCTGCGTCCCAACGTCATAGTGCCTACTTGGGCCGATCATCAATCATCAAACAACCCAGATCTCTCCATCCCGAACCAGGGGGGTCTCCTACTCGGGGCCGCTGTACTTTGTTTGGCATCTTGCTCTTGTCCCATTTCCACTTGGCCTGTCTGCCCGTCTCCAGTCTGTCCGCCAGTGAGAGAGAGCGTGAGTGAATGGATGAATGAATGGGGGTAGCATTGAACAAAATACCATTACACCCGTCATCGTTGTTTTCTCCGCCCGCCTCGCCATTGCACAACACAACACAACCCACCTTCCCTCGATCCATCTTCCTGGCCAATTTTCCTCCTTCCCTCGACGTCGTCGACGATCGGAAATTGCCATCCCTTTCACACGACAGTACATCTGTACAATTTGGGAAGCAAGCACTCACTGTCTGCACGCACCTCGAGGTAAGGCAAAGTAACTGAGAGCAGGCGCCGCCGCCGCCGCTCACGCTCAAACTGCCCACACGCCCCCTCCCCCCACACTCTGGTCACCCTCCCCCCCCCCCCCATCCTCTGCTACTGCTCTCTCTCTTTCAGTCTGCACATCGTCACCTAGTCGAGTAATCGAGTCGCATGCTCCTCTTGTTCACCGCGACTTCTCGCTGGTGACCCTGCGCCCTGAGACACCAAAGCCAAAATACCCATCCGCCTTGACCTTATGCCTGTTATTTCGTCGACTCAGCCAGCCTGACACCACCATAGTTGCCATCACGAGTCGCGTTCCGTGCAACATCCGACCATTCCGCTATCAAAGACGACCCGTCATCTGGACCAAAAGTCGAAAGCCATTGTCCATCCCTCTGTTTCTCCTCCTCCTCCTCCTCCTCCTCCTTCTGCATCTACATCGCCCATTCATCTCGGAGCAGCTCCCCCTCGTCGCCCTGCCATCCATCCATCCCCTTCCGAGGAATGTGATTCAGTTTCGGTACGTGCGCGCGCGCCTTTTTTCTCATTGATTCAGTCGCCCTCCTCGTACGCCTCACATGTTCCCTTTCCCAGGTTGGAACTATTCCCCCCCCCTTCACCGCACCTCTCAGGGCTGCTTGGACCGAGTGGACCGTGGACCGTGGATCGTCAACCGTGAATCGTGGACTGCCTTGTCTCCTCAGGGTCCGTCCCATCATGTCAATCCGCTGCCACCACCGCCTCGCCTCACCTTCGCACCCACCGCCCGCCATCGCGCCGGTCCAACGCCTGAGCGTCTGGGAGCCCAACACCGCACATCACGAACACCCCCAACCCTGTTCCTGGACCCAAACCTCATCAACCCCCTTCCCTGTCATCTCACCCCCCCCTCCTTTCTCCCATTCCCCTTGAGATCTGGCGTCCCGCACACAGCAAATCCTCGAACCGGCTTTTGGGCCCCCTGGATCCTGTGGATACCGTCACTTCCCTACTGCCAGCGCATAACCCAACCTAATGCCAATCATTTGTTGTTGTCGCCCAATCCCCTTGTCTAGCCTCTATCGTTTCTCCATGATCCATGCTTCCCAGTGTGGGCAAAAGTCTGGGGACGCTGCCCACTACTTGAACTACCTGCCGCCTTCTCGTGTCATTCTTGCTTGGCTTCTCGATCGACACTTTTGCTTTGCTTGTCTTGAGTGACGACGAGACGGCAACGACGTCGATCACGCAAGCACATACATCTCTATATGCTCGTCACTGTGCCCTCGCATTTCTCCTCGAGCCTTCATCCATTCTAACCCACCGCCATGATAGACACACGACGAGCACGCCGACCCGATAACTGGATCAGCGCATCAACCTCTGGCAGTGTCTTTTACTGTCCGAGCTACCTGGCCCCCGCCGCCACTTCACAGACTGTGCTGCCCAATCCGCCGATCCGCCCACGGCAGCACCGCACCCGTGCCATCCACATCGTCTCCTATCCGCCAGGCTTCGTCCCCGCCGAGTTGAGGCCGAAACCTGAGCCGTCAGCCAAGAAGAAGAGGAAAATCGCCGAGGACAAACGACGACTGGAGGAGGCCAAGAGGAAACTCGAGGAGAAGAGGCAGCAGAAAGAGGCCAAGGAGGCTGCCAGAGAAGCGGCCAGAGAAGCTGCGAGGGACGCCGCCAAGCAGAAGCGCGCATCGAAGCGGGATTCTCTCACCAAAGCCACCTTTGACAAGCTCCTCGCTCCTTTCACCTTTGTGACCGCCTCTTCGCCAACGACCTCCGCGACCCCGTCTGCGGCACCGTCACGCCCCATCAGTCGTGCGCCTTCCACTGCCGGCAGCAGTTTTCTGAACCGCCTGTCGATCTACAGCCGGAACGAGGAGCCCCTGCAACTAGATCCTCCACCACCACCAGCAGAGCCCGTTGCGCCCGTTGAGCCCGAGCTCAGCAACACCGACATGGCCATGCGTACTGCCGCATTGGTCGAGGGCAGGCGCCCAGGCATCTCACCATACAACCCTGCATCCAACAGGCATAGCGTATCCTCGGTTCGCTCTGCCAAGAACGCCGTTTCCTCCTTTGTCTCTGAAGTGCCCAAGCCCATCGCCTCTGGAAGTGGTGTTTCGTGCTCCATCCTCGTGGCAGAGCCCAACATCTTCCTCTCCGGTTTCGAGCACGATGGCCACCGCCAAGACAGCCAAGGCGGCACTGCTCTGCTTCGCGGCAAACTGCAGTTGTCTGTCACGAAAAATGTCAAAATTAAGGGCATCAGCCTGAAGCTGCTGGGCAAGGCGCGCACCGAGTGGCCGGAAGGCATCCCGCCTATGAAGATCGACATGTTCGAGGAGGAGTCTCTGCGAACACAGGTGCTGACCTTCTTCAACGCCATGAACGATGGCTGGGAAACCGAGTATGGCAACCAGTGCACGTACCGAATGAAGAACAGCTCCAACAACTCCTCCCACACCAACCTCACCATCAACGGCCGCTCACCCAACAACTCCAACAACCCCACGCCACGCAACAGTCTGACCGCGAAAGAGATGAAACGTCTTTCTCTTCAGTCCAATCAGTCGAGAAGCTTCGGCAAGGGTGACATCATGGGCGTCAACTCGGCGCAGGCCAAAGGGTACAAGGTCTTCTACCCTGGCACCTACGAATACAACTTTGAGCTACCCATCGACCACCACCAGCTTGAGACGACGAAGCTCCAGTACGGTTCTGTCAAGTGGGAGCTGCATGCGACTGTTGAACGTGCGGGTGCCTTCAAGCCGAACCTCCACGGCCAGAAGGAGGTGTTTATCGTTCGGGTGCCTGACCAGCTCTCGCTCGAGATGACGGAGCCCATTTCCATCAGCAGGCAGTGGGAGGATCAGCTTCACTACGACATCATCATCTCTGGAAAGTCCTTCCCCATCGGCACCAAGATTCCCATCGCCTTCAAGTTGACCCCACTTGCCAAGGTTCAGGTGCACAAGCTGAAGGTCTTCTGCACCGAGTCGATCGAGTACTGGACCAATGATCGTCGCGTTACCCGCAAGGATCCTGGCCGTAAGATTCTGCTGTTTGAGAAGGCCGCCGGCAAGCCGCTCGACCCCAAGTACGCCTCATCCGACGTGCGCGTGCTGAGTGGCGGCGAGCTAAGCCCCCGCGAACGCCGCGAAGCTCGTCAGGCTGCCGCCATGCGCCGGTCCGTGGAGGCCTCGAGGCACAATGCCATGCCCCATCCCCTGCCTGAGCCGTCGGACAACCTACTCGGCGACCTGGACCTGGGGCTGGAGAGCTACTGGGGCTCTACAGAGATTGAGATGAACGTGCAAGTTCCGACATGCGAACAGATGGGGAAGAGCAAAGAGCTGCGTCTCAACCCCGACTGCAGCTGGAAGAACGTCAATGTGTATCACTGGATCAAAGTAAGCCTGTTCCACTGTCATGCCACATCCAATGACTAACAATGTTGCGTAGATCGTCATGCGCATTTCCCGCCTTGACCCTGAAGATCCTACTGGCACGCGCCGCCGACATTTCGAGATCAGCATCGACTCGCCATTCACAGTCCTCAACTGCAGGGCTACGCAGGCCAACACGTCGCTGCCCGAGTACACCGGTCTAGGTCTTGATCCTTCGCAGGGTAGGCAAACCTCGTGCGGGTGCCCCGACGCATCAGCCATCGAGGCGTCGCCCAACTCGTCGACCGGCACGTTGCCGTCGGCGGATGCTGGCCTCGACGCCATGCCAGCACCACCCCAGCCGGCTCATCTCACATCGGCACACACGCAGAGCCCAAATCCCACTGGAAACGGCAGGGACTCGCCCCCTACCTCTCAAAACCAGCCAATCGACGTATCGGACATGTCGGCACGCCCTATCCACCTTCTGCGCGTGCCCTCATACAACCCGCCTGCGTTTGACGAGGACCAACCGCCTCCGGCCGCGGTGAACACTGTGGCCCAGACTCCGCCGCCGCAGTACGACGTCGTCGTCGGCACTCCCAGTGTCGATGGCTTGGCGGATTACTTTACACGACTGGCCGACTACGGTTATGACGGTCGGGACGATGACTCGGATTCGGCCGATGAAGGCCCCGAGAGTATTATGGAGCGTGGCGGACGTGTCAACGTGGCACACCCGCGCACGCCTGGCGCACCGCGTGCTCCTAGCAGAAGCATGGAGATTCAGCGTCCAAACTTGGACCTGGTGCTGCCGAGGGCCAGTGGGGCCTTGTAAGAGCGTTTTGGGATGAGCATTCTTCGTGCCAAGGAGCCGCGATGGAAGTTTCTTTTGTCACTATGCCGCCACGGCGGCACAGCTAACGCTTGGGTACGATTGGCGCACATTGAGTTGGTCATCCGGATGCATTGGAGCTCAGGGAACTGGCGTTTAGCCTGACTTGCCGGTGAACTTGGGGGCGGAGCGCATTAGCCGTGTTACTACTACACATGTGAATATAACCAGCAAGCATAGACTGCCATGTTCGGAACATGAACTAATTTGCGGCATGTCATCGCCTGGCGCATCATGATGCTGTGCCTTGCTGTGGAGAGTGAGCTGAGCAAGAATCAGGAAACGAGAGCCGGCGTGCCCCCGAACGACGCCAGGAAGCTGACAGGCGAGCTGACACAAGCGTTGCACAAGTTTCATGAAAGAACAAGCATACTGGTCGGAGTACTCTCAACACAGGGTGAGCCGGACCACCACGTAGGTGCTTGTCCATATTGGGGAACACGCGCCAGCATAGGTCCCAGCGTCCATGCACGGCGACAATCCTCAGTCACTCGCAAGGAGATTTGAGCAGAAGAGGGAGAGATTCTCTCGCCAGCTGGATGCTCGTTATACGCGCAGAGGCGGAAACGACTGTGAAGGCCACATGCACGAGTCGTGAGTGGAGGCATCAACGGCATCCAAAGCACTCTTCTTGCTTCGCGGCAAAAGAAGCATGGCCTGTTTCGGGAAGAACAGCGAGAGAACTTGACGAGCGGTCGTGGCGGCATGCCTGGTAACCCTCACGCCCCGCCCTTTTCTTTTGCTCTCAGCATGCACCGGAGCCCGAAATGCGCAGCGTCCGTCGTGCTGCTGTGCGTTCAACTGCCGGGCTCCCCCCTTTTTTTTTTTTTTCCCTCTCTCTCTCTTGTCGAAACGCGCAGTGATCGACAATTGATGTACCCTGGTCTGCTCCACGGGCATGCATCCCGGGCGCTCCGCTGCGTCGGGGACCGGCGGCATCTCACCGGGCCAGCTGGTGCCTTTCGGGTTTCACTTATTCGGGCTTCGCGGCAAATCCTGGCCGTGAGTACGAGGGTTCGGTGTTGGGCTTCTTGCGGTTGCTAGCTTCTCGGCTTCGTGTTTTTTGTTTTCGTGGCGATGCGGGTACAGACGGCATCGTCTTCTAGAGGAATCGCGCTGAGTAGCAAGGAGTCAGGCTCGCCTGGAAATATCAGGAGAGAAAGAAGAACGACGGAAAAAAACTATCGGAGGCTTAGGCCATACATGGGCAATCAGTCGGATGAAGTAGCACAACAGGCAAAAACAGAAGCGCAAGCAGATCAAAAGGTTTCCGAACCAGGGAATCGAACCCTGAGCCTGACGGTGAGAGCGTCAAATGTTAGCCATTACACCAGTTCGGATGTTGAACAGCGGCCAGATTAATTGTCTGATGTTGGCTTGGCGAGGTTCACCGAATATACTGTCCCGACTCGCGCGGCGCGCTGACCCATGTGTTTTGGAACCGAACACAATTAATTGGTGGTTCGTGTGTCTTATGGAAAAGATATCTGTCATTGATCCGAAAAGCTGCCATCCCATGCCGTGCAACTTCGCTTCGCATCCCACGTGAGCAGCTGACGTTGGAACAAGTTCAGCCACGGCGCACTGACCGCGCCCCCTGCAGCGGCTCTAGCTGTCAAGGCTGTCAGAAGGCAAAATGGCAGAGGCACATGGGATGTCGTGGTCCGGACTTTCTCCTGGACGATCCAGTGAGTGCAGAGGATGGTGGCGTGCAGAGGTACAGCTCGTGGACAAAAGAAGATAGAGGCACGGTTATATCTAATAGTGCTCGTCCATCGCCCGTCGCACATCGTCAATTGACATGTCATAACTTTGACACGCGCGTCATCGATCTACATGGGACGGGCACGGAATGGACGGGGGATCGCTGCTCGCCACGACCATCCAGCGGCCTCTGCCACGTGAAGAGGGTGACAATTGGGCCGCCATCACGACGATGTGGCTCCCGCTTTGGACCTCGAGGTTGCACTGGCATGTCTGGATCTCGACTGCGCGATCTTGGCGAGGCCCTCGAGACCCCTGCCGCGAGGCCATCCTGACACAAAGGCTGTTGCGGCCCCCCGCCACGCTCGGACGTTCGACCTCGACCCAAGTCGCGATGCTGCGGGATGTGGAGCGGCGTAGCGAGACGTGACGTCCAGGGACACCTTGACCTGTTCGCCTTGCTCCTCTCTGCTATTCCCTTTTTTGTCTGGAAGGGGAAGCGGATCTCGAGGTTCCCTTGCCACCAATGCGTGCTTGCTCGCGCGCGCGCGCACGCGTTCAATGGGAGGAGGGGGCGTTACCAGGGCTTGTTTGACATGTTGCTTTCCCTCCTGTCCGAACGTGCATGCTACCCGGTTTCTCGTTCTGTGTTGGGCATGTTTAATGTGAGATGATCGAGGGCAGTCTGACGCAAGAGAATGCTTTCCCCCTTTGCGCCCGGCTGATGCCCTTTCTTTGCGACGAGCTATTATAATGTACATACTCTAAGATCCTCCTCCACACCCCGCGCTGCCCGCTGTCCGTTGTTTCCCATCCGATCAGTGACCACTGATCGTGCGTTGCGTCGTCTCGCTACCGGATTTCCTGTTGACGGGGACCGGGCTGACACAAGAGCAAAAGCCCAACACCAAGAAAACACAGGCTAGACGACGTCGACTCTGACTCTCTCTCTCTCTCACACACACACGCGCGCAACATGGCCGAAGACAACAGGCCGTTTGACTTTGACCAGCTGCCGGACGACGACCTGGGCCCGCGGCTCAATGCGACGGTGTGGTCGCTGACGGCCGTGTCGGGCCTGTTCCTGGGTCTGCGGCTGTACTGCAAGTTCACGCGCCGGCGCGGGCTCTGGTTGGACGACCACTTTCTGATCGCGGCGTGGGTGTGTTTTGTCTCTGCTGAGCTGCTCGTACCGTGGTGGTCAAAGGTGTCGCTGACGGCAGTCCCAGATCGCCCTCATCCTGCTGTCGTCGTTCACGACCGTCGCCGTCGGCTTCGACCTCGGCAAGCACAGCTGGAACATCGACCAGGCGACGTTCGCATGGCTCCTCCTGCACGGCAACCTCAGCGGGTCCTTCTCGATCCTCGCGGCGGCGTGGAGCAAAACGTCGTTCGCGCTGACGCTGCAGCGGCTGGCGTCGGAGCGGTGGATGCGCTGGCTCATATGGTTCCTCATCGTGTCGATGAACCTCGTGCTCGGCGGCGCCGTGCTCATCACCTGGGTCCAGTGCTCGCCCGTCGAGAAGACGTGGCGCACCGTCGCCGTCGAGGGCACCTGCTGGCCGCAGCACGTCCACCGCAACTACAACATCGTCTCGGCCGCCTACTCGGGCGCCATGGACGTGCTGCTCGCCATGCTGCCGTGGCGCATGATCTGGGGGCTCGAGCTGACGCGCCGCGAGAAGCTCGGCGTGCTGATCGCCATGAGCATGGGTGTTTTGTACGTTCTCACCCTGCCCGCAACACTTTTTTTTTCTTTTTCGTATTTCTGTTGCGAATTTTTATGTGCTTGAGGCTGACGAGCCAGCGCCGGCATCGTGTCGTTTGTCAAAATCTCGACGCTCCACGCCATTGGCGACAGCGACATGATCGAGACGGTCGACCTCGTCATCTGGGGCGCCGCCGAGAGCGCCGTCACCATCATCGCCGCCTCGATTCCCGTGCTGCGTGCCATGTTTCAGGGCGCCAAGGCCGTTGACGAGCCGCGCATGGGCACGCGCGAGAAGGCGCTGCTGCGGCGCCTCAACCTGTTCTCGTCGCCTTCTACGGGCGGGGGCACGAACGCGGGCACGCAGACGAAGGCAGACAAGGGCGTGGCACGAGGCACCAAGGATAGGAACAAAGGTTACGTGGCGAGCACAACCAAGACAACAGCAGCAGCAGCAGCCGGCATCACGTCGCCGCGGGCCGTGTGGGGCGTGGGCCCGCGGGAGACGGCGCACTTTTTCGAGATGGAGCACTTTGCGCGGCGGGGCAGCAGCGGTGGCGGCGCGGGGCAGGGACGTGGCGACGACATGGAGCATCTGCGGCCGGTGAGGGGGGATCTAGAGCAGCAGTCGAGGGCCGGCAGTAGCCCGAGGGGGTGGGCCGGATCGCGTGATGAGGAGGGGGAAGAGGAGGAGAGCGAGAGGCGGACCCGAGGGGATGGATCAAGGGCACACGCGCTGGAGGGCGCGTCGCGTGAGGTGCGGATCGTCATACGGGAGAATCCCATACGAGACAATAGGACTCTGTCGATGAGCTCGGGGGGGATGTGAGGGTGGTCGTTCCGATAGTAATGATACGAATAGTGGTTCACCCGCTGGCCAGCACTTCACGGAAAGATGTGCATGCCTTTGGTATCTGGTGATCTGTGTTGCCCAAGGCTTATCGAGACAAGTCAAAATACTTGACAGCAAGAAGTGACGGTCATGATAAGTGATTCTGGGTCCAGGTCCTGGGTCCTGGGTCCTGGCAAGCGGGTGACAAAAATAACAGGACTCCATTAATCCCGCACCCTACCTACCTACCTACCA